ATGAGACTAATAGGCCTATAGTCAGCTATTCCTTCCGCCCCTTCCTTCTTGGGCAATAGCACCACATTCGCTGAATTTAACCAATGAAGGTTAGACGTGTGGAGAGAGTCGAAGCAGGAAATGACTCTCATGTTGTCATGCTTGATGATATCCCAACACCTCTTAAAAAACGCCCCTGTAAAGCCATCCGGTCCAGGCGCCTTGTCACTTGGCATGTCATTGATGGCATTGTGAACCTCCTGCTCGGTAATGACGGAATCAAGATCATGCAAATCATGGGACTCCACATTGAGCTCGTCCCAGTTGAAATCCTTCGAACACGGGCCCCCTTTTTTCATGACATCAGAAAAGTGATCATGTACAATTTTTTCCTTCGCATCATGCTCGGTGACCCAGCCTTGGTCATGCTTGAGTCTATGTATGTGGTTCTTTCTTCTCCTTGCGTTAATCCGGCGGTGAAAGAATTTTGTGTTTGCATCACCTTCTTTAAGGTTGGACATTCTTGCGCATTGCCTCTTCCGAGCCCTTACCAGCACGGCCAAGCTTACTACTCTTTTTTTAAGCCTACTTCTAAGGTCAATCTCCTTAGCGGAAAGCTGCCGGTCCTCTTGAGCAATGTCAAGACGAAGGATCACCAAAAGAGCGGCGTGTAATTGAACCTTAGATTTCGAGAAAAGCCTCCTGCTCCATTCTGTGAGCCTTATGGCCGTCTTTTTGAGCTTGTGGAACAATACTTGGTATGGCTCGGTGTGCGCGACATGCTCTTGCCACGCCGCCAGGACCACCTCATTGAACCCGGGCATGGATGCCCAAAAGTTCTCGAACTTGAACGTCCTAGGCCTCCTCGGGCCCTTGTCGTCAGCGAGCAAAAGCGGGCAATGGTCGGAGAGGGAAGACGAGAGGGCGTAAAGCACATGAGTGTTGAAAATGGTGTCCCATTCGGCGTTGCAGAAAAAGGAGTCAAGTCTGCACAAGGTTGGATTAGCCCTTTCGTTACTCCAAGTGAAGCGCCTGTTTTGAAGATGGATTTCCTTCAGTTCGCAGCTTATGTTTCTCTTTGTTGAAAATACTACGGTTTATATTAATGAAAATTACCGTAGAACAAGTAGAACTATTGTTCTACGGTTTGCGGCTACACAAAATGGAATTGGTACTTTGCCACTTACCAGCAATGAAATACGAAATCACCAAGAAAACACCCAAAATAATGAATGTGAAGTTGTGAACACATTTTCTGTGAGATCAAAGTCAATAATGGGCTCATCTGTTGTTTATACGACGGAGCTCATAGAGGCACTGGTGTCAGCTGACACAGTCCTTTTTATAATTTCTTAACGAGTTCTATACTAATCACAGCTTAATTGCATAGACGGCACCATTACTACATAGTTGACATTGTAGGATTTTTTTTCTAGCTTGGTGCTATACGTGTCTATTATATCTATACATGTAAGCGGTGAAGACGCGAGCGTTATGCAATCAGCATTTAGCAAAAGTCTGACGTACTATCGTGACACTTCCTCAGCCATGCCTCTCGCGTATTATCTATTGATTAAGTCCATTGACTCTGTATGTAGTATGTATGTGTACTCTACCGTGTGGGTTGGTGGGGGTAGGAATCGCTCTAATTAGAAACTTAGAATATCAGTCTAGTTTCTTAAATTGCCTGGTTTCTCGTTAAAAAACAGTAACGTCTATGTATGTTGGGATGTCCCTCTTACCTCATAAGAGGCCAGATAAATATTTGATTTGAGCCATCCATTCATCAGGAGTATATTTGACTACACATAATATTTTAGTAACAATAACAACTTGTCAAGAAGAAATGTTTTAAATGATTTTCATCTCTTTTCAATATACAAAATATTCACATTTGGCTCTTGTATATCATACATATATGTTGTTTGAGCAGGTGGCCAGGAAGGTCTTTACCCAACATTGGTGGCAGCATAATCTCCAGATCGGTTCACTGCCCCTGCGAGTTTGACATATGCATAGTGTTGGAGTGTGGTTGTATGCATCTTAGCTATGCAGAGGCTGTGTGTTGCTCATTTGTTGTATCCGCTTGATGCTACATATTATGTTAATAAAAGTGCCCTTTATCAAGAAAAAAACATATGTATATGTATGTTACCCTAAAGAAAGTATACACATTACAAATGGCACCATTACAATTCATCTAAATTGCAAATGTAATAATTATTGATGCGCTTCATATCAGCATGACTGTATGAGTGATGTACTTGCTCCA